TATTGTTTATTTGTTATGTTAACGACATGGTACACGTTTTTGATGATTTAAGTAAAGATTCCATTTCTTTGGGAAACTACGAAGTCCATTTACTGCAATTTGCTGACGATACAGTGGTGTTATCCACTACGCCGATTTATCTACAAAGAAAACTGGACAGGTTATATAATTATTCCTCTAATTTGGGTTTGCGCATAAATTTAACAAAGTCGAAAATAATAATTTTTAGACATGGTGGAAGGTTGAGGAAAGCCGATAAGTTTTTCTTAAATGGTAGAGGAATCAGTATTGTTAATGAAGTTATATATTTGGGGATTCGTCTCTCAGCTACTGGCTCTTTTCAAAATTACATTTCTTACGTTAAAGGTAAAGCATTTTCCAAAATAAATGTTATAATAGACATCTTGAGACAGGTTAAAAATAGCCATATGGCTTTATGTAAGAAACTTGCCGCCTCTCTTTTTACTTCGAGTTGGTCTTATGGTTTGCCCTTTTGGGGGCCTTTTTGCTTTGAAGATATCGACTCTATAGAACTGATGTTCTTTCGTCGTCTTTTTTGTCTTGAGAGGTCGGTCCCATCGTACGCAATCAGATCAGAATTGGGCCTTGAGTTTCCTCGGAAACGCTTGGTAAAACTGACCTTAAATTTTCTGACAAACATAATCTCTGACCCATCATCCTTGGAATATGAGGCTTATTTAACTTTCAAGAAGTTTTCATCGATAAGATCGTTCAAATACTGTTGGTTTACTAAACTGGAGAATCTATTTAATAGAATAGGTTTCTCACTCTCCTTAATAGATTCCTCTCCAGATGTTTTGAAATATTACGCAAATACAATTTTACAAGAGTTTGATAATCTTTTCTTGAGAGAAGAAGGGGACCGGATTCTTAAGGCTAAGTATCATTTATGGTACCCAGAAATATTAGATAACAATCGGTGTTTTTACATTTATAACCAGCAGTTACCGTTTATTGTTAAAAAAACGATCATACAGATTCGTCTAAATAAGTTTCGTTTAACATGGAAACACTTGTGTATTGATCTACGTTCATCGGAAATGTGCCCGTTTTGTAAGAAAGGAAATGCGACTTTAAATCACTACATGTTTGACTGCGAGGATTTCGAACATTTGCGTCTATCAACACTTCTTAATAATGTTTTTTGTACTAATAATGTTGTTTGTAAAAATCCAGCAGATAGAATTCATGGATTATTTTCCATTAATGACTCACTTGAGTCTATATGGAATAAATATAATTTAATAACCAAAGTTATTAATGTTACCCCTCCTCCTAAAAATTAATTTTATGTATGGAGTTTTCAAATAAATAAAAAAAAAAATAATAAATAATATTTGGAATCATAATGGGAAGTAAACAATACAAATATCTGCTTCTTCCAATGTTTCCTAGTCAATATCAGCACTACAACTATAATGTCAATTAGAAAGCTAGATTTTTGTAGGACACTTTGAAATGGCATATGATTATAATTGTGAGCAAAATAAAAGAATATCAAATTCCATTCATCATATCTCTAAAAGTACATAGAATTTTAATGTTGTATAGCAGGGATGGCCAACACGTAGACCGCGGTCGACCGGTCGACCACGAAGGTTTTGAAAGTAGCCCGCGAAGCTAAAGTTGAACAATTTGCTTTCACTTAAATTAATGTTTAAAAATCTTAATTCAATAATTTATTCTTACAATAATAGACTGTCTGTGCAACATACCCATACTGTTTGTATTTATCCCGATGAACAATGCAAATGAATGTTAATGCATGCGCATATAAAAATCCTAAAATTGTTTGCCCATATTCATAGTCGCCCGCAGACTATATTTACCAAAAAAGTAGCCCCTAAGGGATAAAAGTTTGGCCACACCTGTTGTATAGTATATGTTGATAGATCTTAAGTTATATAAGTTATTAGAAAATTTGCATTGTAGAAAAATAAATTATTTTAAAGAGACTCAGGAAATGATTAGATATAGATTCATTATTCTTGTTTACTTTCATATACATATATATTAAGAACAAATAAAATTGTTTGTTTTTAAACAATTCCTAAAATTTCTTTTGCATGTCATTCTTGAGATGGATGTTACAAGTGAAAGTTGAGCAAATGATAAGATGATAAAAACACTATACATAAACAATAGCTCCACAAACCAATTTTTGATTAAAGCCAGACAACATGATAATTCAAATCAGTGACTTTAATAAAAACTGTATTTATGATTACAATACTTAAAAATTATTTTTCATATGCTATATATTAAATGTTTAATTAGGATTTAATAATTCCAAAAACATTAAATGAACAATAACATTATTTCTGATTACATTAAGCAGTACTTGTTATACATGCAATTCAATTTATTTTTGTAAATTTTATCTCATTCATTTAATGTTTATTCTAAATTCTGACACACTATAAATTTCTAAAGTATTATAGACTGTCATAACTAAATTTAGGTTGTCAGTATTTTTATACCTGTTAATCAAATCTGAAAAGTTGTATATGTATTATAATCTTACTATTATTACAGTTTTTATTCTAATAAACAGCACAGCTGTAAGATAAAGAAAGTTAAACAGCATTCTCTAATATGTAAGCATGCTGTTTATCAAAAAAAGACAATGTGCAATTTTTGTGTTTAAAATAAACCGACCATTTATCTATTCAGTGTCTTCACTCTTACCTTACGTTAAAATAAAGTGTAAGTATGTTAAGTGTTGCATTGTTGCTCAAATAATAATAAACTGAAAAATGTTACTAGATTTATTCCATTAATAGCTGTTCTCAAATAATAGTTGCACCAAATTTCAAAAGAATAAAAATAATAGTTTCCCTTTAAAAACAGTGCAGTTATTAGCTGAAAAAAGTTGAAAAGTTGTAGACAGTGTGCTGTTTATTAGAATAAATACAGTATTTTATTTTTCCAAATATATTTTCATAGAGAAGAAGAGGCACAATATATCCTATAGAAACAATTCAATTTAAAACTCAATTTTGTATAATTTAGATTCTCAATGAAGTGGAATTGACATCAAAACATTTACTGTTTAAAACAGGAATTACAAAATTTTGTTTAAATTTTCAATGGTAGATCTTTTATTTCTTTCTTTGGTAATAAATTATATTATGAAAGTAAATAATGATTTGATTCAAAACATTTGATATATAAAACACAACATAATTTTAAAATAAGTGGTAGTTGTTTACAATTTTTTCTTCCTTGGTGGTAGTTTACATTTTTCCTTCCTTGCTGTTTTAATTTCAATGCATGTAATAATTCTCTCAAAAATTTCAACTTGCTATTCAAAAATTTCTAAATTCTTGATTAACAAATTATGACTGTCAGTTCTGAAATAATATAAACAATGTTTTAAAAGATTAATAAGATATCAAATAACTTAATTCAAGTTTATGTTGAAATGTATTTAAGAAATATCTAAAAAGATTAATGTTACTGATATACCTGTATCAATAGTATTATTAACATTAATGATTATTAAATATATGTTCCATGTATTCATTCTAACTGGTAAGATAAAAGGATTTTGTTGAGTACTGGTGTACATTGTCTATAATAATTTATAGTTTTATAGGATTCATTATGTTGTTATACATTATCTAAAAAATTTAAAATTTAATTTTAGTTAAATTTATGAGATAAGTAGCTGAGTGTATCTGGCATTACTGGGCTTTTCCAGGGGTGGACTTTATCCAAATAAGAGTTGGTTGTACTGTGTACAGTAATTTTTAAGGAATTGAAGAAGAGCTGCATGTGCCTGGTGTTGCTTGGGCTTAAGTTAAGAGGGGGGTAGTTGGGGATGGGGACCTCTACAGTATTTTATCTAGAATGTTGAAGAATGCTCATGCCAATTTGGTGTGGATATATTGAATGGTATAGAACGCCTTACCTAACATAACATTTTGACTGTATATATATATTATATTATATTATATTATTATTATATATACGAGGTCTGTTTTCAAAAAGTATCATACCTTTTTTTCCCGCGTAAATCAATGATGCGCGAGAGGCCTCCTTCGGTGGAGTTGTGGAGGGGACAGTCATGCATAGCCCTGAATTTTTTCCCGCCTGCAGGAAGCGTCAGTCATTGGCAATCGGCCTATGAGTGAGGTCATGTAGTGCGCTCTCGTCGATTCCACTAAGCTCGAAAATGACTGAACAACGTGAGCAGTGATATTACATCAAATTTTGCCAAAAACCTTGGCGATACCCAAGTGTAAACCATTCGCAAGATTCAGCAGGCTTTCGGGGACGATCCTCGAGGCCAAAAAAAAGAGCAGCAGGTCCACAGCAATATCAAAGGTCATGTTGACAGTTTTTTCGACTCTCGTGGGGTGGTGTGTCATGAGTATGCACCACAAGGCCAAACCATCGCAAAGGAATACTACCATGAGGTCCCTCGTCGTCTTTCCGATACAGTGCGACACAAACGACCGGATCTGTGGTCGATCAAAACTTGGCAGCTCCATTGTGATAAAGCATCCGCCCATTCTGCGCATCTGATTCGGGTTTTCGTCGCCAAACACAACACTCCTGTGGTTCGTCATGCTCCGTACTCTCCCCACATGGCTCTGTGTGACCTTTGGCTATTTCCCAAGCTGAAAATGCCGCTAAAAGGAACCCGAATTTAGTCGAGAGAAGACATCGTGCGGAATGCGATGGACCGGCTGATGGCCATTCCAAAAGATGCATTCCAGCAGTGTTTCCAGCAATGGCAGGAACACTGGGAGAAGTGTATACATTACCAAGGAGACTACTTTGAAGCGGATTAGGGTTTTGTACCTCAAAGTCAATAAATTTATTTTTGCCGACCAAAGGTCCGATACTTTTTGAACACACACGTATAATGATTTATGAGATAATGACTAATTACATATAAAATTTACAAAGCAAGCATCAGTTTATTAGTGATAGATTAGATGATATAATTTAATTAATAATTATTTTTTTAGGATTAATGTAATAATAAAAATCAAAGAAACACTACAAATGAAAAATGTTAAAGAAGCCATTTGTTTGTTACGAGCAGCAAGGTTAGATTTTGCTTTTATATTTTTAATATAAAAATAATTAGTTTAATTCAATTAATTTAGTATTAAATAAAAATCTATAACAATTGTAAAATACTAACAAATCTTAATAGCATATTTTAATGATGTATAAATTAAATATAAATGCATCATCATTATCTGATAATCCTTAGTAATAATTTTAAATATACATATTTACTGTAGAAATTATTGAATGTACAGTACTGTATATGATAATAACTATTAAAATGTCTATATTTGAGTTTCAATAAAAATTATAATAGGAACATTGCACAATTGCAAATAAAATGATACATAATTAATGACATTTAATGGTTAACATATTATTCACCATAGTTTATTTTATTAATTTTAGAAATATTTGGCCTGAAAATGATGTTTTTGGCATACCTACAATTTCTCCTGAAAATGAATTTATAGTTTTAAGAGAGATTTATTTTTCAGATGTGCAAAGTAAGTAATTTTTTTTTAATATACATATTTTAAATAAGTCCCTTGTCTGAAATAATAAAGAAATGAAAATTTTTTATAAATTTGAAATTTTTACATTTGAATATTGTTGAGTAAATTTAGTTATTTAAATTCTGGAATAAAGTTAAAGATTAAGAATAGTTTTAAAATATTTAAAATTGCAGTCTCAACTGATTAAATATACAGGATCTTTCAAAATGAATGAAATCATTTTAAATTAATGTAATTATGTTAATTATTATCCAAAAAGTATGCAGCATATACCAGTTGATAAAGTAATTGTTCAAGTTTCATCTCTTGTCATATTCAAAAGTCTTTTTTCTACTGCCTCTAGGAAGTACCATAACTGAAAATGGCAACTTTTCAATAGAAAAGGTATTTTGTGTTCTGCAGTTTGCAAAGTCATAATCACTCATCTTTGTGCAACATGAGTAAACTGCAAGAGCTGTAAAATTTTGGCTGCTATGGGAGGAGTGACAATGGCTATGCTGTGGCAAGTGTAGGAAGAATTGAGTATCGCGGTGTGTGCCATGTGATGTGAGCTGCACAAATAAATAAATTGTAATGGACAAATGTCTTTCACATTTGTCCATTACAATTTCTTTATCAATTTCTTTGGAAGTTTTGCAATGATTTAATGTACATTAAGACATTCTCAGAAAATAATTGACATAATTATAATAATCTAAAACATTAGCATTTTTTTTGGATGACACTGTTTATACAATTTCAATTAAGAGTTGTTTTGTGTAGAAAATGTTTAAATGTCAAATGGTACTACAATATTCTATCATCATATACTATCATGTAGCAGTACTATGCTACATAAACTATTATTTTACTTGAGAAGTTGATTTTGGGTTTGAGCCATCAAAAATTATGTTCTGAGAGTTTTAGGTAGGATCTTGCCACCAGGTGTGTATTATTGGACACACTTCCAATTTAGATTCTAGAGAAGATAGATATGTAAGGTGTGAGAGCAAGTGTTACTTTGAAGTCCAGAAATGAACCTCCCAGTAGGGTGAATGCAAAATCAATTAACCCAACTTAAGAATAAAAAGGAATATTTATAAAAAAAAAAAAACTAAATATAACATTAGAATTAAGTTTTAAATTAATATTAAATGCAAAGTCTGTTCTTGGACGTTAGCTTATTTCTATATTAGTGAAATGGGGTATCTGAAAGTTTGTGACTCACAACATACCAAAAAAAGAGTTGTCTTCTCTTCAAAGATCTGGCTTCTTTTCAGTTCCTTTTGCACTTTATCCATTTCTTTCCTTATCTCTCTTTTTGCTGACTCTATTTTCTCCAGATTCAACACTCCTTGGTTGCGGTCTCTATGGTTGTGTTCTCTATGGTTGTGTTAGCACTCTTTTCTAGTAGTTGACTTTTTTCTGGATGTTGTGTTCACTCTCTTCTTTTCTCTCTCTCTTTCTTCATTTCTCCCTGCTCATCTGTCTTTCTCTCTCACTTTCTGCTTTTTGTTCTCTCTTGCTGCATGATTTTTGTCATTCCCTTTTGTTTTATTTATTTTTTTTCTGACCAATCATGATTTTATTCTGGAGGAAGTTGAGGTAATGAAGGATAAGCATGATTGGTTATTCTTTAGCCTTCTTTCTCTCTTATCTGTTATGAATTGTGTGTCCACGTGATATGGATAAAGTAACACCTGTCACCTAACACTTGAAAAGGGGGAAACGACAGTCATCCCCTTCATCTTTTCCTCTGAATGTTGTGAGATTGGTAGTTTGTAGTTGTTTAATTTGCTATAACACGGTGTTGTGGAGAAGTTTGTTGTGAGATTTATAACATTTGATAATTCTTTTATTTTAATTTGTTTCTCTGAATTATTTTTAATCAGTATTGCTAAAAATTTAGAAGGGGATCCCTAAAATCAGAAAAATAGGCAAAATTCCTTTGCAACATTGCTTGGTAACAAACAATCCCAGTTTCACATTCACACATCTTTGAGGTGTGGGTGCAAAGGACGTTTTGTCTGATAGCTAACAATTGTTTGATGAACAACCAGGCAAAACAAAAAAGGGATATAAAATACATATACAGGTATACCTCGCCTTACATCGGTAATTGGTTCCAGGAGAGGCAACTTAAGTCGAAAAATGACGTAAGTTGAATTTACTTGTCACTAGGCTAAACCACAAATAGCCATTCCCGGTTCTATATATTTTATTTATAAATGCATTTTTAATAATATATGGTTAATAAGAATCTATTTTAAGCTTACAAACAAATAAATTTTAGTTTTTAATATAGTACAGAAAAAAGTAATCTAAATTTACAAATTCATATATGTACAGTACATACTTGTAAATGTACAGTATATGTTTACAATTTGGCAATGTTTACAGTACATCGCGGACTCTTTATTTGTGAATGTAGTTTGCTCTAAGACATTATAAAATAAGATGATTTTGTAAGGTTAAATAACAAATAGTTATTAAAATTATCTTGTGACAGTAGAAAATAAACTAATTTATATTAAATTTACCAATATCGAGCGGCGCTGACAATGATGTCAAACGGTAGCTATTGGAGCTATCGTGGAAAACACCAATATTGAGCACTTAAAGACCGCTAAATAAGATGACAACACAGAAACACAGATGTTTTCATATTTTGTTCTCTAGGATTTATGATGATTATATTCACATTTACTGTAAATGTATGTATTTTAATATGATTTTATGTGCTTTAATGCTTTTCTAGTGATATTATGACTTCAATATTTGTGGTGGATGGACGTAAAGTCAAATAAAATGACTTAAACTTGATTCTTATTTTTCCATATATTTTTTGACAAACAACGCATAATCAAGAACGTAACTTGAGTTATACCTGTATACACTGGTGTGCAAAACTTAAGCAATAATTGTTTTTTTTTTTTTTTTTTTTTTTTTGCTGTAATTCTGCAAGAAATCACCTGGGAAACATGAAATTCAGAATACAGAGACAGTAGTTTGTGTTTAAAAGATGAAGAAAGCATACTAGCGCAAAAATGAATAGAATGCATACAGTTTTTATTATAGTCTTTCACTGATTGTACTGACTGCACGCATTTTGCGTGCTCTCATGTCAACTGTGATGTCTTCTTCCTGTATACAAATCACTTTTTTACTGAACTGGGTTTTCATTGTACTGATCACAACAAACCCTTTTCTACAATTTCATAGCTGTCTGCTAAAAAAATTATGTTGTTGCTTAAGTTTTGCATGCCAGTGTAGTTTAAAATACAATAAAATTTTCAACTTATTATTTAAAGAGAGTTCATTATTAGCTTAAAATTAAAATAAGTTAATTAAAATTATAAAGATTAATGTTAGTAATAATCCAAGAATATGTATGTGTATGTATGCATGTATATATATACAGTAGACCCCCTATAATTACGGTCCCTATAATTACGATTCCTATAAAACTGCGAAAAAATTGCAACGGTATCCATAAAAAAGGTAAAAAAAACTCCTATAATTACGTAAAACGTCATCGGGCAGCCGAACTACTTTCCCGCCGTCCGTAGCACCACACTACGGACATTTAGGTGGCTAAATTGAGTTTAGTTTCGTCTGTACATATAATTATATATAAATTAGGTACTGTACATATAATTATATATNTTATTTCTCTAAAATCGAATGCAGAATTCGAAAAATTATGCAAGCAAAATTTCAAATAAATGGTTATACAAATATTAAAAAGTGACACGTTATTAATAAAAGCACTACACATAAAAAAATTTCCGTATGTTTAAAATAATAAATAAATAAATTATTTATTTATCAAGAGCCATCTTAAGCTTAATTAAGCCTTTATATAGAACTAAGCCACTTCATCACAAAAAGATTTCCAAGTGGACGAAAGCCCATCGGCATCCGTATAGTTAATGCATTGTGTGCTCTTCTGTGCCCTGTGAATTTCCAATTTTTCCAGATACATTACTGCATGTTTAGATCTAGTGGCTTTTATGATAGAAACCTGGTCCCAGAAAACTGTGATTGCTTGGCATAACTGGCAAGGACTGTACTGTCGATGGTTTTGTTCACCGATAGCTTATGCTCATTGATTCTTTTCTTCAAATTTCTTAACGTTGCCCCTATATACACTAAGTTAGAGTTGAATCTATGATCTCTTAGTGGTATTGAGTATATTCCTGTTAAAGAGTTACGTTCATAAGTTCCCTTGTCATTCCTTAATAACCTGTATATAGTGAGATTACGTCGATAAATTATTTGTAAGTTCCTATTTTTAGAAATCCTCTTAAGAAACAATTTCAGGAAGGGTATGTAATGGAGGACCACTTTTTCTTTTTGGCAGTTTTCCTTTTGCTTATGTGTAAATAAACATAGCTTAAAATTAAAATAAGTTGATTCAAATTAAAATTATAAAGTTAATGTTAATAATAATTCACAAATATGTATAATATATAATAACAACCAAAATTTTGGGGAAATGATGGACCTCATAATATGCTTACCAGTAGATCTGATATACAATAGAATTCTTATCTAGGAATTGAATTCTCAGAATTCTGAATCTCAAAATCCTCTCCAAAATGTCAATCCCAAAATCTCAGGATTAGGTAGATACAAATCTTGGGATTTTGAGATTGACAATATGCATGGAAATAAAAAAATTTTTAAAAAAATATCACTTTTTATTCAATTATTTGAATAGCCATTCAAGGCTCAAGTTTAGTTAATTTGTGCTTAATTTTGTAACTGAACGGAAGGATCCAACTGCCTTTCATCTTTTCTCTCCACTGAACTAGTAAGCAGGCTGTCATTTTGTGAGATCAAGACTCTAAGAATTTTTACTTTTGAGATTAATAAAACATTAATTAGCAAGCCAAAAAATATTACAAGAACCCATATATAAAATTTTGCTTGGATATAGTTAATTAATATCATTATAAAAAAAAAATAAAATGATATCATGATAGTTTGACACAAAGCTATATCTATAT